GTTTTATGGTTTTCTGATGGATGTGAGCTTGTTGAGCAGAGCAGCATCTGCAACCCACGTGAAGTCTAAAAATACTCGTGCACCATTGACTGCTCCTGTGCTGTGGCCTCGGTGGGTAAACGAGAAACCGTGAGTGAACAGGAGGCTGGTGTGCGAGGTACGGCGTTAGCCGTAACCCTGTTTATAACCTCGGAGCCAAAATGGGCCGCTTGAAGCAAGGGTTCAGATATTTTGGAGTGGCGCTCTGTGGAAAGCTTGTCAATATTTGATCTGTTGCCGTTTTGAGTTGGCTAATGTTGATTAGTTGTGGCAACCATCTTGAAGTGGATCGACTCCCTCCATCAATCAGTTGTAGATGCACATCCAATGATTACGTTCTAAATACTTTATTCAAATCCAACTAGCGGTTCATGAGATATTTTGCTAACAGACAAACAGAGCTGACTCCTAAAGTCCCTGCTAAAGTTCAAATAAAGATTTTGTGCAATGTGTAGCACTTAGAGCAGGGTTATTCAACACAACTGATAAGGGGGCCACAGTTTCTGAAAGCCAGCAGCTCAGGGGCCGGACATACATAAATAAACCAAGTATTACAATTATCTGTTACCTTTTAAATGTGTTTGTTTTATTGCATTGAATCATAAATGCAAAACCCAAACCTAGAACACTCCCCCAAAACTTTTTTTAATGACGTCATTGGTGGGCCAGATTGAAGTCACATGTGGGCCAGAAATTGCCCGCGGTCCGCCAGTTGAATAGCTCTGACTTAAAGTAAACTTTGTAAATGACTCTCAGCTACAATCACGCCAAGTTTTAGCGTAATATCTGTAAAAACGGCGGTTATAGTACTTTTTGTGTGTTATAAGTTCAGTTGGTTGTGGTGGCCATCTTGATAGATGCACAACTAAAAGTTTGACTAAAATCTATCCAGTGGTTCAAGAGTAATTTTGTCAGACATATGCTTACACACAAACACTGGCAAAAACATTATCGTCCGTGTTCACCTCTTGATGGTGGGCGATGATATCTGCAAAACTGACAATAGTGTAATTTTTAAGAGATTCCTCCAGTTGGAGTTAAGTCCACCTTAGCCTCCTGATTAGCCTGTCATAGTTGAACTCCATTTCTGTGAACTGAAGCCATTCAAAGGCAGCAGGTGAGATAATTACAACCCGGTATCAAAAATATCTGAGCTCTTGCTTTGAAGCAATGTTTCAGCAATGCATTGTGGGGATGAGTTAACGGCATCTGTTTACCTCTTGGCTCTGTTGAATGTTTATGTCTTGTGTAAATGCACGAGGTCATCGCTTTGGTTTGTAAATATGTAAATGTCAGTTTGTTAAAACGTCATTCAAACAGGACACGTTTAATCTTTCTGTCATACTGACAGATGTGTAACAGATGTGCACTAAGCTGTTACACTAATCACATCAGAGGAGTCATAATTTTTTTGTCCATGACCTAGAGGATCAACCACCCTCAGCAGAGCTCATGTAAGATTTTTTTTATTCTGCCATTGAAAACAAGGGTAATGATTATTTTTATCTCATTAAACATCGGAAGGATTTCTGTGAAACTTGCAGAAAATAATCGCCAGCATTAAAACCAACTAAAATGGTTGCATCTCCATTAAGTTGACAGATATTAACCTAAAATTTGGTGTGGTAGTAGATGAGACTGATCAGCAAAACATATGCTGAGAGCTAAAAGACTGCACAAGCTCTTTGTTTAATGTATTGTCCTTAACTATTTAGAGACAACTCGCTCTGTCCGTTAGCAAAATAACTCATCAGTTACTCAACAAATTTCACTGAAACTTTCAGGAAATATTCATTGGATATACTTCAGTAAATAATTATTTTTGGAGTCAACTTAATGCAGGATGGCCGCCACACCCAACTCATATTAGAAAACACACAATTGACTTCGACACAATCTTTTGTGTGAAGATCTGATGTTAAATTTTGGTGTGGTTGTAACTGAGAGTCATCCCCAACACATACTTCAACTCATTGCACAAGATCTCTGCTTAAAGCTTCAGCATTAGCTGCTGGAGTCAAGCCCGTTTGTCTGTTAGTAAAATATCCCATGAACCACTGGATGGATTTTAATGAAATTTCCAGGAAATAATCACTGGATGGACATAAAAGATTGACATTTGGAGTCAGCTCAGTTTAAAATGGCCATCACAGCTAAATAGCCAACAATAATGGCTCATTTTGACGTGGTAGTAGTTGAGAGTCATTATCAGCACATACCAAAACGACTACAACTTTGTCATTTCTCATTATAAGATGATTTCAGCTTAAAAGTCATAAGGCCGGCGGGTGATATGCATTCCTCCATTGAAGGCTGGACCATTCTTCACTGAGCACAGATCCTGAGAGGACATCCCATCACTGCCTGCCTCCCTCCCAGCGGTACAGGTGTGGGCAGCGCGTGCCGTCCAGCCTATTGAGATAACCGAGCGGGGTCACGTGACCAGCCCCCTCCTCCCTGGCGGACTGAGAGCAGCTCCGCGCGAGCCGCGGCATCCCTGGAAGCCTCACCGAGCGGGACGTGATGTCGGCGGGCTGAGCGGGAGCAGCGTCCAGGTAAACTGCTCCTTTTCTCCCTCTCTCTCTCTTCATCTCTTTTATTCCTGTCTTCATCCTCTCAGCGTGATTCCTTGTTGGGATTAAAATCTGTAGCTCCTACAATCCGATCCGCGGACAGGACAAACAGCATCATCCGCTCAGACCCACTCCTCCTCCTCCTCCTCCTCCCTGCAGACACACATGGCTATTGATAGTTGACAGCAGACGGTAATCCCAGATCTGGCTCACAGGTCACGGCCGTTTTTACGGCAACAAGAATGTTGATTGAACTTACATTTGCCTCGAGATTTATTTTGAATTAAATGGAGACGCCCTCTTGGGATCGATGCTGCTCACAGGAGAGGAGTACTGGTGCTGCAGCCAGGCAGGCTGCTTTTTATTTCTGAATTATTCATAACTCTTGTCTTCTCAGCGCGGACTACTTTTATCCTGTTTGCTTTTCTTGTTTTAGTCACTGCAGCACAATCAAAACTAATGAACAAGGGACTGGTTTGATTTGATTCCAGTGTTGACTGATTATAATGCCACAAAATACAATCTTCTAATTGAATGGATTTATTTAATTTAATCCTTGGTTTTTCTGAGTGGATTAAATTTACCGACAATTTTGATTTTGTCTTTATTGTAAATTATTTATTTAGGATTTATTCAGGATTCAGTTGCTTGTTGCGCTCGTCAATAAAATTGAGGCAGGCCGTTGCAGCATATAATAAACCAAATTCCCATCAACATTCATCTATGTAAAAATTCCTTTTCTCAATCATAATTAAAATTGAAAGTATTTAAAATGACATTTCTGCAAGGTAAACATATTTCTACACTCATGTGGCTGAAAAAAATAAAATAAGTTCAAGATGTTAAACTGTAAATTTGAACATCTGTTATGTTATTAGCATTTGGGTATTTGGTGTGTTTCTGTTGGATTACGTAAAATGAATGTTGCAAGTTTCCAAAAAGTATTTCTTCCTGTGTTCACAATCAACATTTCTGGACTGGGTCTTAAAATTTTTGATTGGTTTGATCTATGGGGACTCTACCTTTCAGAATCCTATACATTGTCCAGTTTTAAAGATACTCACTGCAAAGTATGACATCAGACATAAAAAGGTTATCTAACTTATATGAAATTGTGATGTTTGAAAGAGTTTACTCCAGTAGTTCTTTGGATATCAATATGCAGTTCTGAAATGTGGGTCCACAAAAAAACTATGTGGAAGCTTGAGTCACATGATTGGCCTTCGGATGGCTGTTGTCTGTCTAAAGTATGATAAAATTGTGCAAGACTAGAGTTTCTGAAGGACATTTAGGTGGAAATATAACTGTCAATCTGCTGCTAAACACAAAAGAAAAGAAAAATAACAAGTTAGACAACTTTCCAGGTTAAGAAGCAAGGACCGAGCAGGTCATAAAGGCAGAGTGCAGCATTCAAACACATTTAGAGCTTTTGCAAAACCTCTGCAGTCACTTTGGCTTTCTGTAAGTAAACAAACACATGGGATAGTTGACATCCTGCCACACATTTTACTTACATATTTTCTATATAAGCACACATACGACAAATCACTGGTACGAGAAAATATTTATTTTCTAAACCTATTTATTTTTGGTCTAGTTTTCATGACTTTCAATGAGTATCTTCAAAACAAGTATTTTAGCTTTGTGTTCTCTATATTGTTTCTGTATAATCCTAGTTGTTAAAATCCTATTTATATTAAAATGGCACCCAGTTCTTGTATAATTCCAAATAGCACCGATATCTGCTGCTGTGCTGCTGATTATCCATGCTGCTGATCTCTTGCCTTTATGCTGCTGTATTCATACCCAACTCACTACAGACTTATGTTTGGGCTTTTGTTTAATATACCTATTAGTGTTTAGCATCTTAGAGCCTTGTATACTGCTTCTTTTTATACTTAATATTTTTGCTATTTTTGGGTGTAACTGGGACTTTGAGTACACAATTTCATGACACCTCATGTACCACGTGTGATACGAATGACAATAAAGAACCTTGATTCGCATTTTAAATTATTAAAGTATAGGCATGGCATGTTTATCACATTTTACTGTGTTTACTAGAAACATTTATTTTTGACATTTAAAGTTTTCTCAGACATGTTTCAAAACAGTTTTTTTTTATTGTTATTTTGAAAAAAAAAAAAAAAAAATGCCAGGTTTTATTTTATGTAGGAAGAATGGACTTGTGAATATTTGCAGCTTATATCTGAAGCGTTAACTTCAAATAGAAAATGAACTGAGCTGAATTAAGTGTTTGACTTGAAGAGACTGAGTATTATATGCTCAACTGGCTTGCCATAATTTGTCAAATAAGTAAATGCAGCACTTTCAGCCCTTGAGGTTACCCTTACCGCGCATGCGCACTCTCACCATTCATCTCGGAATTTCTCACTCTTGTCTCGTGCGAGAGACCAGCAGGCGGCTCTGAGCTCGCGCTTGCCTGCTGCCCCGGTTGTCAATGCGCTTCTGTTTAGTGAGACTCGTCTCTCGTCGCGGCTGGACTGCTCATTTAACTGTCGGAACCGAGCTTTTTTTTTTTTATTTTATTTTAAGGATTTGTTTTTTCTTGTCATTTTCGGAACTCAGAAACTTCTCGCCAGCGCCGTAAGTTAAATGTTTCTATTTCTCTTTCTAGCCGTTTTCTCTTTATTTTCTGTTCGCACGCGCTGCTCATCCTGACGGAGGTAGCAATAAATCTAAGCAGAACCGCGGAGGTTAACGGCTCGGAGATAAGATAATTTATCAGCATTGTTAGGATTTTAACGTTTTTGCTTTCACTTTTTCGTGTCTAAACGGGAACTAAAACTTCCCTAATGCTTTGTGGAGGGTTTACTATATATTGTGTATAGGGCTTTAAGTTATTATCTTAAAGAAAAACAAAAACAGACATTTGGGTTGGAGTTTTTTTTTAATTTTTTTTAGGATACAGCAGGTGTCTGATAACCACTTCCGCACTGTAGTTCTGCGAAATCCCTCTCAGCTCGGTTCTGTGCGAGTCTTCGTCTAATTACTGGTCTTTAGTTATCAGCTACCTGTTTTTGGTTCTCGTCTATTTTTCACGCCGCGCTGCTTTTAGGGAACCAAAAGTGAGTTATTGAGGAAGTGTGTTTCATCACTGTTGTTGAGTCACACCATACCTTCATTGTGTGTGTGTGTGTGTGTGTGTGTGTGTTAAATGACAGTTAAATCCCTGAACTGCTCACCCTGCTTGTTGAACCAGCTTGCTTGCATACCCACCTGTCCTGTAACTTTATTGTCAACTAGTTTCTTAACTATCACCCACTGCCAAAGACAACAGGCCATAATGCTTTTGTTTGTTTGCCTGTGCAGCCTGGCTGTTAGCAAAATATCTGCATGAACCACCAGACGGATCATAGTTTCCATCTACAACTCATGGTGTCAACCTGTGACAGCTGATTCATCTTAGCCCAAACACAGCCATGCTTTGAGCTAAAATTTAGTATGGAAGAAGCGAAGAGTCATTGTCAACACACACTTCAAGCTCTATAGCTCAGATTTCACAGCACGTCTTCCATTTCTAGTTTAAAGCTCCAGTATGAAAGAGCTAGTACGCATTCCTTCAGTGAACGCTACGCCTTTATTTCCTAAAGAAAACTGAAGCTTAAACTCCATTAAACCTCCGTTATCATCGCTGTACGACAGCATTCCTTCTGACGTTTGCAGCATGGAGCATCTGCTCGTTCCTGTTCGGATTCACTGGCTAATTTAATTGAGCCGCTGTCTGTTGGACTCCCAGCAGTTCGTACTAGTCTGTTCTGGTTTATCTGGTCTCAGTCCCCGGTGATCTCCGAGCTTGACTAATGGTCTGTTGCCTTTGGGTTATTTTTGTTTGCTCCACCCAGTTTCTCGTGTTTGAGGTGACCCAGCAAATGCATGCAGGCATACCTGCCCTAGTTAGGCAGAACTGTGGGGTGTCTTTGTTGAAATGCCCGACACTCGCCTAGCTAGAGTTGATTTATTGGGTGGAAACGCTGACTTCTGTAGTTGTTGCTTGTTCCAGCTGTATAATGCTTCTCTGTACTGCATACAGTAGACTTTGTCACTGTCAAAGAGAAGGGCATTGGGCGGTGTTTTAACGCCCTGATTTTTAAAAAATGTGACTGCTATTTTTCTTTCTATATTGTATCAATATATATATATATAGGCAAAATGCTCTGTCATTTAGAAAATGTGTGTATACCTTTTTTACTTCTTCTTGCCTGCGTTGACTCTGCTGTGAACTTTTCCTCATTACTGATGAGATAAGGGATAAAGCCTTAAAGTCAGTGAGTCTATTTTTAATTATTTCTTTGAGCATCGTTTGTTTGTGTCTATTTGACATCTATGCGTTTTACCTTTCTGAATTGGGCAAGTTTGACTTTTGTTCTAGCTTACCTGTTTTTTTTAGTTTCCCATTTTTTTGCGCGTTCTACTCTCTGGATTTCAAGTTTGTAATTTTCTGAAAGTTGTCAGTTACTTAGGTTAAATTTTTATGACGAAAAATATTAAAGCGCATTTTAAAATTTGCCTGTCGCAATAAACGATAAATCAGTTCATCGTATGATAAATGAAAATTATCAACCTCATTTTCATTTATCGGCTTTATCGTTTCTTTGTGTCTCTCTCTTTCTACTGAAGACACTGGATGGCAAACGGCTCAACTCCGGTTCACTTCACTGATCCCTCCCTTTCTCTTTTCTCTTTAAAATCCATTTTAATGATCCAAAATCGCAATTTTGGCTCGTTAAAAGCAGCTAAGCTGAGAAACTACGCTACGAGCTAAGCTAACAGGCAGACCTCGGGAATAAACCTCCATCTTATTGAGATCCAAAATTCACGGTTGAAACCTGTGCCTTGGTGTAAAAAGTTGTTTATCTCTGAAAAAAGAAGCTGAGAACTTGTTTACTGATTTATTTAAATTTTTTTAATTAAAAGCTTTGTGTGAAAAATGCTATACTAAAGAGCTCAAACCACACCGAGCAGCCGCCATTTTGAAAACCAAAGAAAAGGAAAGACAGAAAGCCCATGTCACGTCAAGGGGCCTCCCTCCCATTTTTCTTAGAGACACGCTGCTCGCTCCCTCACTATCCATCCTTCAGTTCAAACAGTCTTATACTGCCATCCAGTGGTCAAATAAAGGTACTACACTCAAAGCAAATTAATCAATATTTCATCGTAAATTTGACAATTACTAATTATTGTCAAATTTCAAACAATATTATCATTTATTGCAATAATTTCTGAGACAGTTAATTGCCCAGCAAAATTTGTTATTGTGACAGGCCTAGTCTATTCTAAAGGAGTTAATATCACCCTGCACCTTTCATGCCATAGTTTAGGTTGAGATCATTCAAGAAATGAAGAATCATATAAATCTCACGTGATATCATTGTTGATTACTCTCGGCTACTACCGCACCAAATATTAGCTCAGTATCTGTAAAATTGACTGAGCATGTTTGTGTTTTCTAAAGTCACTTATCTGTGATGGCCATCTTGAATTGGGTTGAGTCCAAATGTTAGTCACTTGTAGAGGTAGGTAAAATAATTGCTTCCTGGTAGTTTTTTTTTTTAATAATCTAGTGTATGATGAGTTTTTGCTAACAGACAGCCTCTAAATATTACAATTTTGAACAAAGATTTTGCACAATCTGTTAGTTGCCTCTCGGCAAGAAGGTCACCAGATTGAATCTCAGCCGGGGGCCTTCCTGGGTGGAGTTTGCATGTTCTCTCCGTGCATAAGTGGGTTTTCTCAGGGTACTCCAGTTTCCTCCCACATAAAAACATGCATGTTAGGCTGATTGGTAACTCTAAATTGTCCCTAGGTGTGAGTGAGAGAGTGAGAGAGTGAATGGTTGTTTGCCTCATTTGTCTCTCTGGCGGCTGTGGATGAGTGGTTAGAGCAGTCGTCTTCCAATGTGAGAGTTGGGGGTTTGATTCCACCAGCAGTCACATGCCGAAGTGTCTCTGGGCAAGACACTGAACCCCTCATTGCCTCCGATGTGTGTCCCATCAGTGTGTGACTGTGATAAAGCACTGATTATTCTTTGTGTAGATATAGTAGAGTGCTGATGAATGGGGAAATGAGGACACGTCTTGTAGTGTAAAGAGCTTTCAGTATCTTCACAAGATAGAAAGTGCAGTCCATTTACCATCTACTGTATGTGTCCTTGTGTTGGACTTGCGACCTGTTCATGGTGTCTTCCGCCTCTCGCACAGTGACTGGTCAATATGGGCACCAGTGACTCCCGCGTCCCAAAAAAGAAAAACGCGGATAAAGATTATAGATGGATGTTGGTACTTATAGCATTTGATGGGGATGACTGAAATTGCCATACCAATTTTGAGGCCAGTACCTTGAGAGTTATAGCCATTTTCTTCCTTAGAGAATTTTATTCATTTGCTTTTTTATATATGTGAATGCTTATATAAAATGCCCTGAGACGTTTTTCTTGTGAGTTGGTGCTATATAAATAAATTGAATTGAATTGAATTTTAAAGGTCAGTTGGCAAAATAAATAATCAATGTTTTGGTGATGGGTGATAAAAATGTGAAATGTTTATCCTTTAAGCAAATCTCACACTTGTAAGACATAAAACCAATTCAACCTTAATTTAACAAAAACTAAATGTTTACTCCTTTTTGCCTTACTGTACTTAATCATTTGTGTTTGATGGTCTTTGTGTCAGTCAGGCGATTGAAGCCAGAGTTTTGCTTCAACAGCTTTGATGTGGATTTAATTTTCACTAATGGACCCTACGTGTTCGTGTACCCAGATTAAGGACACAGGGATGACTGCTTCGCTGATCATGCGTGACAACGCAGAGTGACAATTTCTTATCCAAGTTTAGGATTATGTTATCAGATAAAGAATCCAAATCTGTCTGTTTTAGGTCATGTAGATTTGACTCATGGTCCCAAATGAGTCTAAACAAACTAAAAACAATCTACAGTAATGTTCTTTGGTTGTTCTTAGATCAGAAGACTTTTATAAATGTGAGAATAATAATAAAAAACCTATAGGAAAAGCTTAAAAAAAATAATTGCATCATTGATGCAAGCGTTTTTGCACTTAAATTGTCCTCTTCTTGTCTGTTTGCTGTCTTCTCTAAGTCAACCATATTAATTAGGACTGAGGCTCCCTGAGTGTCTGTTTTACATCATTATGGGAACAGTGTCATCGTGGTACCTCAGCTGCCGGTTTAGTTTATGTTTTGCTTGCCCTTTAAACAGTTAAGAATCTCAGTAACACTCTCAGCAGCCAAGGAGAAACAATAATCTCATAGGATGTCTTTCCCCCCCCCCTCTCACCGCCCTGCTGCGCATCTGTTCTGGTGCCCAGTGCTTATCGGTGAAACATGAGTCTCTCAGATTTGAGCTTACAGCAGCACATTTAGAGTCCTGTCTGGCAAGGAAATGTAGCTCTAATCCAATTGGTTAAAGCTTTAGTAAAAGCTTTCCTTATTGGGCGATAAGGAAACTGGCCGCCAAGGTTTCTGTAAGCACAACGGGGAGCTGGGAGTCCCAGTGGTTCTGTGGGGCAGACAGCAACAGAACGTGCCAATGCTCCATAATAAAGAACCCATCTGCACTCTGCTGATTCA